AGGCATCTCAGCAGCATTGTGTAGCTCTGCATCCTGGAGACCTGTCAGGTGTCTGACGAACTGCTTCAGAAATTTTTGTTCATCTTTGGTGACTAGGAAAAAGTTTAGTTTTAACCCCTGTCATAAGTACTTTTCTGTTCCTACAATACCCAGGCAAATATAACTTAAGTGGAAAGGGATTTGTTTAGGCTAACAGCTCCAGAGAGATACAGGTGGGGAAGACATGGAATCAGGCAGGCAAGCTGTCATAATTAACTTTAATTGTCCTTGACACAGCCTACAGTCTTATGAGAGAAAAGTCCCCATCAAGGAAATACCCAGATCAGATTGGCCTGTGGGCATGTCTGTTGGGGGATTATCTTGAGTGAGTCAGAGAGCAAGCCAACAAACAGTATTCCTCCATGGTTTGTGCTTCAATCATCTGCTTTGGTTCTTGCCCCGACTTCCTTCAGTGATAGACAGTGACTTGAAAATATAAGACCTTTACTCCCCTCAATTTCTTTTGGTTGCAGTGTTTTATCATAGCAATGGAAGGAAAGCAGGAGCAGAAAGGTGACTGTTCACATTGTATCCATATAGTTAGGGAGCAGAGAGGAAACAGGAAGTGAAGCAAGCTATAAAGCCTCTAGGTCTGCCCCTGGTGATCCACTTCCTCCAGTGAGTTCCACCTCCTAAAGACTCCACAACCTACCAAGCAGCACTGGGGAGCAAGGGTTCAAATATGTAAGCCTGTGGGGGAAATTTCCCATTCTAAATACAGCATTGACCTTCTATTATATTTCCAATTTGTCAGCATTGTTTAGAATTAAGAGAGAGAATATCATGTTGTTATTTCAGCATTCAGTAAAATATGGCAGTGCCCTGCTGTGAACCATACAAGTCAGATGAGCCAGACTGATTCTGCCTCCTGGGTATTTTCTCAACAGTTGGTGTACATCACTAATATCCACGCAGTTTCCCAATTTCTTTGTTTATTTCCATAGTTTAAGGACTTACATTTTTCTTTTCAGTTAAGAGAGGAAAAACTGTTTTTCAACCCTAACCCTAAGGATGCAATTTACACATTTGATTATAAGCACAAATACATGCTGGAAATAAGTGGATGTTAGCTAATGATAAGTATGACAACCCTCAATGCCATTTTAGCTTTTACTCTTAGTTTTCTTTAATTTTTTTTAGTTTGTAATTATCTGTTTTCTATGTTAGAAAGGTTGTCTCCTGTTTGTTTAGCAAGGGTTTTTGTTTGTTTCTTTACTTGTTTGTCTGGTTGGTTGGTTATTTTACTTTATTTTTTTTAGGCAAAGCTTAGCTATGTATTCCTGGCTAGCCTAGAACTTGTTATGTAGATAAGGCTAGCCTCAAACTTATATCAATCCTTCTGCCCCTGCATTCCAAGTGCTGGGATTACAGGCATGTACCACCATGCCTAGCTAAAGGATTTTACTGAAGAGTAGAAATTTTAGTCATCACACAGTGTCTAAAACTAAGATGCAGTACACTGGTATTAATAAAGTTAATGTAGCTTAATATTAAGGAATGCCAGGACTTGTGTTTTGTTATGGTGGCTGGTAGATTGGTTGATTGGGGTTAGTTTTTTAGTCTGTGGGTGTTTTGATTTTTTTTAAATAGGCTGGCCTTGAACTCATGATTCTTCTGCCTTAGCTTCTAATTGCTAAGGTTACAAATGTGTGCTATGACACCCTATAACACTTTATCTTAAGTTTCAGGGCATGATTTATCGTCTCTCTTGATCTTCTGTATTCTCTCTTTCTTTCCTTTTCCATCCTTTATGAACCCCATTCCCATAAAATAAAATGTTACCGATTATGACTGCATTTTAGAGAGAGAAGATAACTTTCCTAAAATTGAAAAGCCAGAAAACCACAAGTCCAGGAATTTGAGTCTTCGCTGTTCATCACACTGTGAGTAACAAGGAAGTGCGGGAGGACTGTGGTGCTGCTCTGAAAGGAGAGAGTTGTCTTATTCTTCTTTGTACCCAACTCCTAGCACAGAACAGAATGGAACAAGGGAATGACGTAACAAGTGCTCTATTTTCGGAAGATAAATCTGGCAACAGTGTGTGGGATGAAGAGAACAGGAAAGGCCTGGCAGCGTGGAGAGTGGTTTAGATGCTGTTCCAATAATGAGGAAAGAAAGATCATGAGATGATGAACAGGCAGGCCACACAGAGAAAAGAAAAGAAGCAAAGAATGGGACAGAGGCTTAGGAAGAATGTGTGAATGACCATGTGCAGGCAGAGAAGAGGACTAGGTCCTTGGATGAATAAATATCTGCTCACACAACAAATACTCATGGTCATCAAATGTGCCAGGAACTGCTGTAGGTGCTGGGGTGCTGCTGTGGTGAAGTAAATGAGGAACTTGCCCCCACTGAACTTCTAAGTGCATTGCAAGATGTGTTGGTGAGGGGTCAACAGAGAAACAGAACCAATGAGAGATGCATAGAGGTAGATGAGAGAGAGAGTTCAAGGATTTGGATTGCTTGTGTGTAGGGTCGGCAGGTCTAGAAAGTCTGTAGGGCAGGCCTTGGACTGCAAACTTTGGGGCATGAGTTAATGCCTCACATTCCAAGGCAGAATTTCTTCTCAGGGAAAACTCAGCTTTGCTCTGACAGCCTTTGAACTGCTTAGATAAATCCACCCAGACTACTGAGGATAATCTACTCATATATCCATAGCAACACCTAGATCAATGCCGATTGAACAACCAGGCAGCCTAACATTGCCAAGTGGAATGGAGGAAATACAGAAATAAAGTTGGATATTAGAGGGTAGCTGCTAATTCCTGTGATTGAGGTTCAGGTACAGCCTCCTGTGTTTGCATGGATATACTCCCATTTGTTAGATGAGTAGACTGAGGGTTGAAGACATTAAACAACTTGTCTAAGTGTTTAAAAAGGCTACTGATTGGTCCTGCTGCCATCTTGTCTCCCACATATGTGCCACACTATGTGATGGCTTCCAGGAACAGTCAAAGGGACAAGAATGATTGACTTTTCCCAGGAACAACACAAGATGGCGAACAAGTTTAGATGAGAACCATTCATCCTGAACATGGAGGCTGGATGTGGAGAGGGAACATTCATTTTGAGGGGTACAGGAACAGCTTCACCCAACCTGGGTATCAGACATCCCCTCTGCTACCGATGGAAGCTATAGGAAGATTTGTCTTCTCACAGTGCTCCACTGGGGCTGCTCACCAGTGTGGGGCGGCTACAAGAGCCATTTTGCATTCACTCTTCATTCTGCATAGAGCATTCTTCTCTCTTTTCCCTTCATGGGCCCAGTGTCTCCTCAGCTCCCAGCTCTGTCACTTCCACAGTGAAACTTTCTCTGTGCACCTCAACACTGATAAATATCCCAGTTGGATGCCCTCCCCACAAGCTCCATGCTCTAATGTGGAACTTTTCACCAAGTAATTTATGTATTATTTTATCTTACATATATATTTATTTAATTAGCATCTGCCTCTCCTGTTATATTCTCTTAGAGGAAGAGCCAGGTCACCAACACTCCCATGCTAATTCTAAGTTTTGAACACAATTGTTAGCACAAATACTCATTGAAACAATGGTTAAAGGAATGAGTAGATGAAATAAACACCCCATGAATCTATGGGGCATTTTGAACAGTGAGTTGGAAATACAATTACACAGCCTAGTACCACTCTCCTTTTTCTAATCTCCATTCTGGTCCTGTCAGGGTTGTTTTTAGGGAGCATGAGGGCCCATGTGTTTGTTCATGTTTGTGTGTATGAATGTGTGAGCACATGCATATGGAAACCAAAGGTCAACCTCAGTGTCATTCCTCCAGAGTTGTCACTGGGGCCTGGGGCTCAGCATTTTTAGGCTAGACTGGCTGTTCAGTGAGCAGAAGCGATCCACCTGTCTCTGCCTTAGCAGAGCTGGAATGACAGGCACAGGCTGCCATGCCTGGCTTTTTGTGTGCACTGGGGATCAAACTCAGGTCCCCAAGTTTGCACAGAAAACACTTTATCAACTGAGCCATCTCAGTCCTGTTCCTGTCCCGGACTGCTCATCCCATCCTTGAGATTTGAATTTCAGCCCAGAAGATGGTATTTACTGAACTCTCCTCTAGTTAAATGGAGTACTTTATAAGGAACTGAGCCTCAAACAAATGAGGATTTAGGACAAAAGTAGGTGAAAGAGTCGGGCAGGGATGGAATGTTCTAAAGAAGTGCTTACAACAGAGCATTCAGGCTCTTCCTACCCCAGGTGGGAAAATGGAAGTTCTGCTATCTGGACCCTTGTGAGGGCAAATAAAGCTTCTGACTCACACATCCCCTGGAGTCTCCGAGCAGGCTCTTGAGAAACAGGTTGGACATTCAGATAGGAAGCTGTCTTCGTGTTCCCTTCCCCTGCTGGGCCACAGAGCCTTCTAGCAACTGGTATTTGACATAGGCAATGCAATTGAGCATAGCAGCTGGTCACGTTACCCACAGTGAGACTACACAGTCTTTCACTCTGCCTTTTGAGGTGACAACCAGCAGCCAGAACAACTTGAAATGTCATCTGTGTTATTAAATGTTTCTAAGAGTGCCTGTGCCCCTTTGTGTTATACCCCAAATACAAATGGAAATCAGCCTTTACAGTTGTCTTCTGACTGTGACAAAGGAAATTTTGGATTTTAAAACAATAGCCTTTATCAGGTCATCCAGTAAGGTCTGCACAAATTTTCCCTCTTGCATTCTTTGTCACTAAAATGAAAAGAAGAAAGAAAAATTAGTACATGTTTTTTTTTTTTTTTTTTTTTTGAAACTTGGAAGATTCAGTTGCAAATCTTAAAGGGCATGATTGGGATTCAGGCAGTTTGGGGGTCAGTTAGCACTGGGAAGTCCTTTGGCCCAGAAGTCTCAGCTCTGCCTCCATCAATCGAAGGCCCTCGAACAGGTCAGTGGGCTGTAGCAGACTAGAGCATGTCTCCCTTACCACTGCTCTAAGATGTGTGGTTTTCATTGCAGGCATCTTTTCCACAAGTCCTGTGTTGACCCCTGGCTTCTAGACCATCGCACCTGTCCCATGTGCAAGATGAACATTCTTAAAGCCCTAGGGATCCCGGTAAGCACAGCACAGCCTACAGCCTCATCGTGTCTGTCTTTTCACATTCCCATCAAAGCAAGGAGAAAAATCTCTTATTTGGATTTTCCATGCCTCCTTATTGGTATCATCCAATGAGACTCCAAGAGAATTCCATGTCAGAAAGCATTTCTCCTCTCATCTTTTCTCAGTTTGAGTGTATCATGGCCCTTTCTCCATGTCCACCATTGTGAGTCCAAGTACTACTTGCACAGCTCATGAGCATCTCTTCCAAGGGGAGGTGGGGCACTGAAAGATCTGTGAAGGGCTGCTTGGACACCGACTGCCTCTTTGATCATCACCCCTACTTCATAATCAAGGAGAGCTGCATGCCACACTGTTAGTGTACACTGCCTCCTGATCACCTGTCTTTCAGAGGGAAGGTCCCCTCCCACCAGTGTAAGGAGAGGACTGGAAGCAGGAATGCAGCTCAAAGCCTCTGCTGAACTCACATCTCTGGAGACGGATTGAGCAGAAAGTTAGGGTCAGAGTCATTTAAATCTAGCCCTCCCATCAGGATGCTTCTCTTAGTCATGTGTTTTGTGAAATATAATGTCTTCCCCCAGGGTACAGAGTCTCACCAGCTTGCTTGATGCTCCAGGGAAAGCCTTTCCGAGGACTATCAAGTGAGCCCATCAAGTGGAGGCTGGTGAGACAGCAGCTGCTGTGTGTTGTCCCTTTTGAGCAGATGAGGGCAGGAAACAAGCCAGGCCACTAATCCAAGTAGTACAGAGGGAGAAGTGAGGGAAGCAGAAGGCAGTGTCTAAAAAGAGCCCTCAAACCGAAGGCAGAAAACAGCCTGGGCCCTTCCCAGCTTGACTTTACTGCCACCTGCCTAGCGCCACTCCTCACTGCTGTGGCAGAGAATAAATATAATGCTTAGAGTCCAGACATGTCACTGAGGAAAGAGGATCAAATCACACATCAAAGTTCTCGTCCATGCCTTTAGTGCTGAAGGGCTAGTTAGGATTATCAGAGGGGCTCTGTTGGACGGTGTGCCCCTGGCACCTTCTGGGGACCTGCTTTCACTGGGCTTCCTGTCCTGTGCCAGCTGCTGCCATGTCAGCTCTATACTGATTTGCACAGTTGATCCACCAAGCACAAATCCACTTGAGGAGCTAGAACTTGAGCTAGATTTAGATTGTAGACACGGTACATTAAAATTTCATATTAGAGCTATAGATGCATAGTGCATCAAGGAGTAAATTAATCACAGTGACTGAAACATAAGAGAAAATCTGGATCTGTACCGGATACTGGTGACTCGAATCAGACTGCTTTTGTGCCTTCACCTTTGTAGCTATAACTAATTACTTTAAGGAAGAAGGAAAATGCGTGCATGTGTGTACACTTGAATGGGTGCATGTGTATTTTTGCATATATGTGTTTGCACAACTGCATGTATGTCTACTTATACATGTGTGAGCTTATATGTGTGCGCTTGTGTGTTTGCATGCATATGAGTGTGTGTGTGCATTGGTGTGTTCACACTTATATGTACTCACATGTATTTGTATGTGTGCATGTGTGTGCTTGAAAGTGCATATGCACATCATTTGAGCTGCTTCCTGTTGCCCAGAATATTTTCACAGCCTCCTGTCAAAGAGGAATCCACTCATCTTTTGTCAGGTCAGTGAAGCAAAGAAACCCCTGTTCCATACTTAAATTTTGTACTGAATAATATTTGACTCCAGATTTTTTCCGTAGAACTATAATTCCTCCAGAAGTACTTGTAAGTAAATTCCAAATAGTGATGTGAATTGTTCCTAAACCAGAATTACAGCATAGCCTTCTTGCTTAGCTCCAAACTAAATACCATTTTAATTTTTAATAGTTGGACACTCTGGCTTTACCTTTGATGCCTGAAAAATCTGGGTAAGATTTGACCTAGCACACTTGACTCACAGAAAAATAAACACCAACAGCATCTTGGGCTTTGCCAAGGATTCAGAAAGGCCAGTCGAAGAACATGACATATCAGCACTCCCCCCACAGAGCAGAATGTCCCCATGAAGAATGAGGGACTCAGTGTGCTGATACTCATAAAGCACCAAGGCATATGGCTGCCCCTCCGCCTTCCAGGGCCTTCTGCTTTCATCCTCAGGAATGACAGATTCAGGATCTGGGAGGACTCAGGGATAGCTCCAGTTCATCCTTCTGCTAAAATGCACCAGTGAGATAATTTCTGTTCCATTCTGAAACTTTGCATTTTATTGGCCAGAACTGCTTTTACTTAAAGAAATAGTCTTAATTTTTCCTGTACTCTACACACAATTTTTGTTTTGTTTTGTGCAGATATAGTCTCCCCCATGTAACCAGACTGGTCTCAAACTTGTGATCATCTTCTCTTCGGTTCTGGTAGTGTTTATCTATGATATCCAGTCAAAAGGATTCACACCTCCTACCGTTAATAGTCTCACTGGGATAAATAGATCTTTTCTCCTGTCTCTGTTAAGAATATAGTGGTGTTTATGCTGATCCACGGGCTGAAAGCTTCACCAAGACCTAGAGAAAAATGACCAACATCAACAACTAGAATCCATATTTCAATAACTGCCTCAGTTGTGTCTGCATGCATTGGGCTGCTTGTGGTTGAGAGAATTGTTAGCACTGTGTGTGTCTCCCTTGTGAAATCCTTTCCACATAACACTTCATCCATAAGTGTTTTGCTTACGTTTTGCATATAACTTTATAGTCTTTAAAGTATTTTCTCAAATCCTTCTGTAATTGATCTTGGGCAGGTTATAATATGCCCAAGGTTTCAGAGAAAAAATTTGAAACTAAGAAAAAATGCTCAAGCCAACATTTTCTGAGAACCTAATCATTGTTGGTGGCATGATGTGGAAGCTTGGAAATAAGGATTGAGATGGTATGGATGCTACTTGTTGTGCTGCTTGAGGACAATGGAATGAGAACAACACATTGGCAAATGGATATCATGAATGCAAGTACCACATGAGGTGCAACAGGATCAAAGACCACTACCTGGGAGGGGACCCTTCTTGAATATGGTGACACTGGCCTGAGAATTAGAGATTACGAATTCACCAGGGGTCAATTTGAGAACTTGGAATGGGAAGAAGAGAGTGTTAGGGCAAATGTCATCCTGAGCAGATGACAGTGTAAACTAACATGCTGAGATAAGGGAATATGGGTGTGCTCTGTTTCCAAAGGCTGAAGGTGAAGCCAGAGAAATTAGGTGGGCTGGGCTGCATAGTATCTGTTTTGTCATGCTGAATTTGTAATCTGTTCCTTATGAGAGCAGAGATTAAGGCATGTGTTGTGCTTGTTTTGTGGTGGTGGTAATGGTAGATACTGTGGTAGTTATGGTTGTTGATATTGTTGTAGATGTTCTGATTGGTGATGTTGTTGTGATGATATGATTGATGGTGTCATGGATGTTCATGCTGATGTTGAAACATTGTGGATGCTGATGTTGGTGGTGTTGATGTTGATGATGTTGTAGAAGTAGATGTTGATATAGTTATTGTCGTAGACTTGCTTGTTGATGTTGTTGTTGTAGATGTTGTGATTGCTACTGTTGTTTAAGAGTACTCTAGTGAAGAATTACTTACTGGAACAAACTGGAGAAGAGACCAGAAGGAGATAGAGAAACTGGTAGAAGGGAGAGAATGTTGACAGAATGTCTGCACCAATCTAAAATCAAAGTCAGTAAATTTAGTGAACAGTCAATTGGTCATTGTGTAATGTGACTTATGACAAGTTGAGTTTTAACGAATTGGATCACTTCTTACAGAGATAGCAAAAAGCAAAAAGGAGAGAGAACATAGAAAAGAAAGAAAAGAACTGACTGAAGAATTGTGGGAGTGATAGCAGGTTCCACTTAACTATTGGAGGTGCAAGTGATCATTAAGAGACAGGCCACAGAGCACTTCAGCTCTCTTGCTGTGTGTTCCCCATATATCCATGAGTTATAGAATTCTTCCTTTAATGAGTTTTGAGTACAACATTATCATTTTGATGCTCATTCAATGTGAACTCAGAATTCTTTTTCTTGACTTTGGCTATCATGATCTGCAAACATTAAGGAGACAGAGAAGAAGTTGAGACCAAAGCCAACATACAAAGCAAACAAAAACTCACAGCTGTTCTCAGTATTCCATAAGACAATATCCTTTCTCTATCACCTCTTAAAACTCATTTTAAAAACTGGCATGCAGTCCTATAATACCAGCACTCATGAGACTTGCCACAAGTTGAAGGTTAGTCTGGGCTACAGAATGAATTCCAGGCCATTCAGGATCTGCAAAGTAAGATCCTGTGTCAAAAAAATAAAACAAAAGGGCCTATAGAGATGACTCAGAAGCTAAGTGTACATACTGCTCTTACAGAGATTCAAGTTTGGTTCCCATCATCCATATCTGGCAGCTCACAACTGTCTGAAACACCAGTTTTAAGGGGATCTGACACTTCTGACTTCTGCAAGCACCTGCACTCATGTTCACATATACATGCAAACACATCCTAATTAAAACTAACAAAACAAATGTTTAAATAATCAAACAAGGGCTGAATAAATAACTCAGCTAGTAATGTGCTTGTCATGCAAGCATGAGGACCTCAGCTCCATCCTCAGAACCTCTATAAAAGTGAGAAATAGTGGCATGCTGTTTTCTCAGCTCTGGGGAGGCAAACACAGAAGGATCTCTGGGGCTCACTGGCTAGCCAGCCTAGCCTAATTGCTCCAGACCAATGAGATACTATAACACCAGAGGTTGACCTCTGACTTCTACCCACTTGTGTGTGCATGCGTGTATACACACACACACAGACACACAGACACACACACAGACACACACACACATACACACAAATCATTTTCATGAGTCCAGGTAAAGACACAGAAACTGAAAGTAATGTTTAAAGTTGTTTGTGGAAAAGAGAATATATTTACTTTGCTTCAAACAGCAAAACTAGGACCAATGAATGAGAATGACAAAGGGCAACATTTTGCTTAACAGCAGAGCATTCAACAAACACCATCTGCCTTGCAGGAAAGAGCACTAGCCTCCCTCCCGCACTTCTTGTCCTTCAAAGGGAGTGGTCAGTAATATCGGGAAAGAAAAATCCTATAAGAAACGGGTGCTTGAACCAGAAGGTCACTCCCTAGTTTTATTTCTCTAATTTAATTTACAGGCTTTTTTCTACAGCCAGATATGGACACACACACACACACACACACACACACATACACCTGTAATTTCAGTCAGCACTTAAGAAGCAGAGGCAGGAGGATCACTGTGAGTTTGAGGCCGACCTATTCTACATAGCAAGTTCCAGGCCAGTCAGGGCTACATAGATTGGTGGGGGTGGGGGTCAAAAAGAAAAGAGAGAAGGAGAAAAGGAAAAAGAGATAGGGAGAGAGAAGAAAGGAGGAGGAGGGGAGCGAGGAAAAGAAGAAAAAAGGAAAGGATTTACCTAATGCATACTGAATCCTGTGTTAAACACATAGGAATATTTTTATATAGTTGGTTGGGTTTTGACTTATGATTTTTGAAAAGTATCCTTGTTATGTGTGTGGGGGGTGTCTGTGTGTCTGTGTGTCTGTGTGTGTCTGTGTGTCTGTGTATCTGTGTTTGTGTGTATGCACATATCTTCACTGTATAATTCACAATGAGTAGGATTCTGTCTCCTGCCCACTTTCATATCACGTTTGTAAACAAAGCATGAGACGTGATAATTACCAGGCTGCCAGTTCCATTCTATGTGGGGAATAAACACTATATGTAAAAGAAAATTCTAGTTCTATCATTATGAATAAATATCATGTATTCCTTCTAACTAGCAATTTAAATATAGAGATCTTACTACCCCTGAAATTAAACTTTATACCTATATCTAAAAGGAACCTTTGGAAAAGCAATTTTGGAAGATCTTTTTATGTTAATGGAACTCCGTATAAATAGTTTTTAAATAAAGTGGCTTAAAAACAAGACAGTAAAACAATGGGCTTAAATTTGCATTCAGACAAAATATTTTGGCGGCAGACATTTCATCTCTAAAATAAGGGTGTGCTCTAAGATAGATCCTTTTTTGTTCCCTCAGCCCAATGCCGACTGCATGGACGACTTGCCCATTGATTTCGAGGGTTCTCTTGGAGGCCCACCAACCAACCAGATCACAGGCGCCAGTGACACAACAGTAAATGAAAGCTCAGTCACTTTGGACCCTGCTGTGCGGACAGTGGGGGCCTTACAGGTGGTCCAGGACCCAGACCCTGCACCTCAGGAGGGAGAAGTCATCTTTACAACTAACAGTAAGTTCTTTACTTCCAAGAGTCATAGTCAGCAGGGTTATTTCCTCATAGGATTTGGAGAAAAAAATAAATATATCATTATGTGATAGTTGTTATTGTCAACTTGACAGAATCTAGAATTACATAGGAGACAAGCCTGTCACATACCTGTGAGGGATTAAGTAGATTAGGTTAACCTCTGGGCATGCCTGTAAAGAATTTTCTAGATTAGTGAACTGAGGTGGGAAGGCTCTTTAACTGTGGGTGATATCATTTCATGAGTTGTGGTTCTGTTCTTAAAAAAAGGAGAAAGAGAACTGAAGACTAGCGTTCACTGCTGTTTCTTGGCTGTGGCAGGCCTGTGAAGAGTTGTCTCAAGCTTCTCCATCATGATGGACTGTACTCTCACACTGGAAGCCAAAATGAACCATTCCTCTCTTAAGTTTCTTTAGTCAGGTATTTTGTCAAAGCAATGAGACAAGTAGCTAATACACACTGTCAGTCTCTACAATCATCCCAGCCAGGCTGCAAGCCCAATCATTCTCCATAGGTGGCGGGGAAGACTGTAGAGCTAACTCCTGCCTGCTCCACATTCCCCAGGGTTCCTGAGGCAGGAGAAGTGTAGGTCTGGCCCCTGAGGGCAGAGGACCAGTCAGAGAAACAAGTGTAAGAGATACTCACAAAGGCTGGATAGGATATAGCCTCCACTCACATTGTATGTGCATGTACAAGGGAGGGTGCCTGAGCCTCCTGAGTGTACCTATGTCTACACAAGCTGCTCTGATCTGTGTGCGACAAACCACTTTCCCATTGTTGGAGAATTTAGTTGTAAATGGTACATCTTTACTTGTTATTTTATTTCATTAAAAGACAGGGTCCTACTATATTGCCAAAGCTAGATGGAACCCCTTTAGATGGGCATTTTAAAGTATCATCCGGTTATTTCACCTCTCTTCTCCTACAAAGATGGTCACCAAACCCTGTGCTGTTTGATGGTAGTTAACATAAAAATATTTAAATATCTGTATGAACATTGAAATTGATCTAAAAATCTAAAGTGCCTACTATTTAATCAAATATAGTAGAGATAAAAGCCTTAAGAGTTCTAAGAAAATCGGCATGCAAATTAACTGTCACATTTAAAGTTAAAAGAGTGGGTGGATAATGCAATTTTTAAATAAAGTGTATTTCTTTCTCTTAATAGAAATAACATATTCACTGTGGAAAACTTGGAAATGTAGAAAGGCAAATTGAAGCATCTTGGGTATTTCCTTTGACGTCAACCTCTATTTTGCATATTTGTGATTTTTATAGAATCTATAAAATTAAGCTACAACATTAGAATTGGTATTTTTCTGATAAACTGTAATCTTAATTGTTGAAAGGTTGAAAGATAAAGAAGAAAAAAAGAGAACTCAGTCAAGGTACCACAATCCAGAAAGTTATTTTTAATATTATGGTCTATTTTCTTTTTCTTTTTTTTCAGGTGAAGCAATCTTTATTTTCCTTTTTAATTAAATTTTTATTGAATTTTTGTGATTTTCATACAGTATAGTTTTATGGTTCATATTTATTTGTTTATTTGTGTGTGTGAATGTAATATATGTGTCACAGAGTGCAGGTAGAGGTCAGAGGACAATTCATTGGCATCTGTTCTCTCCTTCTACTATGTGGGTTCCAGGGATCAAACTCAGGTTGTCAGGTTTGGCAGCAAGCACCCTTACCCACTGAGCCATCTCACCAGCCCATTATGCTCTATTTTCCAATAGAGTTAGGACACTCTTGTAGATCTTGACTACTGAGTATTATAACCTTAGTGTTTTCACAGAACTTCAACAGAAAGTAATGTCAGGAGGAATTTGGTGATATTCACCATGCCAGGTTTATTGATTTTTGTTAAAGGAGAGTTTTAATTTCAAAAACTAGACTACAAGCAGTTTAAGGATCTCAGAACTAAACTTTGAGCACTGGACATTTGAAATCCCTTAAAGATTGATTTTGATCCCTTTGTTTCCAATGTCTAGACTGAGGTGCTGTTGAGTGTTGACATCATTCAAGCCTTGTCTGTGATGTGAAAATGTCTATAGCCATACTACAAAAGTGCAAAGGGGTGAAACCCATTTGAATAATACATTTCATCTAACCCATTATATCCAAAGTATTTTACATGCTATCTTCCTTGTACCTGACCTTCAGGGTATGAGATAGAGACTATTCTTCAGGGTATTTAGTTTGGGGTAGCCACATGGAAGTTCTAGGCAATCCTCTGTGACAAGTGTCTATCATATTGAAGAACATAGATCTAGAATCTCAGTAATATAAAAGAACTTTGAAGAGTATTTTTGTTTTTAACTAGAATAAAATTTTTACCGTAAGAAAATGATAGGCCAGAGAAGCAAATGTCCAACCCAAACAATATGTTCTCTTTACAGTGTGTAAGTGAGGTCTTGTGATTTTTCTATTATTGGGGTCTTCCATCACCATCAGACATATAACCACTAATGAACTTAGTGAAGAACATTGGAAATCCAACAGTTCAAAAATATTTAAGGCATGAACATTTTTAAGCCTGTAAGAACAAAATAAAAATTGGATCATTATCTTTGCAATGGAGTGGTTGATTATCCAGAGACAATGTATCATCTGTTGGGTTCTTTATCTTGAAAAGCAACTGCATACTTCATAGATCTCATTTAAACCCAGATGACAAAAACAAAGGCATTTTAATTTAATGTGACAAAGTACCATCCAAAATGAAATAGAAATAGATATACTGTGGGTTAAAATACATCCAAAATGAAATAGAAAATTATAGCCTGTGTCCTTGTGATTCAAAACCCTCAAAGTATTTTTGTATAAAATAGAATCAGAGTGTTTAGGTCATAGCAGGCAATTGTTAGATGTCTATTGAATGCCCTGAGGTAAAAGTGTTCAATCTAGACTTGAAGCGGGGACTTTCTGTTCACAACAGAAGGGGGGAAATGCTGTGTAATTTCAAAGGAAAGTGTTGGTAAAGATAAAAGGAAGAGGTGGAATGAACTGAATGACCATGCCTGCAGTTGGAAGACTGACAGGCCATAGGAATATGCTTCGGAGATTCTCATCTCAGCACAGAAACTGAACATTTCCCACAAAATATTTTCCTAGACTATTTATTTCTAATTCCTTTTCTTTGAGACCTAACAGAATTTGACAAACAAAATGGTAGTAGATTTCTTAAGAAAGACAATTTCTCTGTACAGATTTTTCTAATGTCCTATTACCCCCTTAAACAAGTCAGTAAGTGAAAAAACACAAATCTACCATTAAATGCATGAAGATTCAAGTTCTCAACAATAGCACTATAGTCAGCTCTCTAATGTCTGAAACTTGAGGCTGGAAACATAGCTCAGCGTACAGGCCTTGCCTAGCATGCAGGTGGCACTGAGTCCAATCCCCAGCACAATATGAACAAAAACAACAATGATAACAATATTGTTATAAGTCACAAGTAAATAGCCAAATGGAGCTTAGTCCTTTTTATTAAGTTACCCTTTCAGAATTCACGTCTGCACAACCCCAGGGAATTACAGAAAGGGAAGAAATGATAGCAGTGACAAATCCATAACACCAGTCAGGCAGGCAGCACCCTCTGAAGCCTGTTTCATGCATTAGCTCCCAACAGTCCTGTGAGGTAAATACTATTTGTATCCTCCTTTCACTGTTGCAAATACAGAAGCCCTTAGCAATTAAAGGAATTGACCCAGATCATATGCTTGGTGACAAATGGAGCTGGAACTCAAAACAAGCTGCTGGCTCCAGACTTATGTATGCTCAGAAAATTAACAGGGGACAGGGAGTATGGCACAGTGGCTCACTCACTTCTCATTTACTGTATGTTTTCATTTCTTGCTTTTTCAAATCTCTTAAAAGATCCAAACTTTGCTTAACTCCGACTTTTACTCTCATTCCTGCCTCTGTTCCTCTCTTGGCACACAGAGCTGGTGTGCAATACTGGACCAAGCACAAGTCAGTTCTGTCAGCACTCGCAGTGGGAAGGTGTGAGCAGATTGTCCTTGAAAATGAGAAAGTCTGTCATTAAGGGATTTTCTTCAGCTTCAGGTTCAGGGGGGAGGAAAGAAAAGCATTGACAAAGTCAAGAAGTACCTTGCTGGACACAATTCCAATGTTGGAAGAGGAGCATTCTTCATTCTCTGTTTGCAGTGGTCCTGACCTTCCATCTTTTGCAATCTTACATGGCGGTCCACATCACACTCTGTCCTTGACCTCAGTGCAGAGGCCACATGAACAGAAGTTCTGGTGCCCCTCACTACTCTCTATCTGTAAGCCTAATCATGCCAAACACTTTGCTTCTGACTCCCCAGCACTGGCCACCGATAGTTGAGTTTGCTTCCACAGGGGAAAAAGTTTCTTAGGAACAAAGGAAAACACAGCTAAACAATCAACCATCACCCCTCTCCCCCTCCCCCACGTGTTTGGAGACTCCAGAGCAAAGCTGAAGAATGGGAGGAAGACACTATTGTACCTTCCCAAATCCCTTCAGCACAATTCAGCATCTTCTCAGGATGTTTGAGAACCTTCCCTTTATTTTTCAAAAGGGTTGTTGACTCTACCATCCATTTCTTTCTTTCCCTCTTGAATCATGGCAAAATCCTGTGGTGCTGTCCTAAGGTGAAAAGGATAGAGACGGGTAGGATCAAGAGATCTCAGATTTTTCCAAGACTTTCTGAGGAACACTCAGCGTATGGGTGGCCAGGAGCTCTGGTCTTCAGTTTTTATAGAAGCAAGCAATGTACGTGAGTACAGGCAGAGGCTAATGAAACGGGCAGCTGAAACAAAAGGTATAACAGATCTCCTCTGGGAGAGGGCCTTTGCTAACAATCCTATCAAACTTGATCCTTGGAGACAGGGCAGTGTGCCTAATGTGTTGAACATGCATGGCTTGTGACAACTTCACCAAGCATTTTTTAGATTTATTATTATTATTATTATTATTATTATTATTATTATTGGGTGTGCGT